AACTTTTCATTTGCACCCCCCCCCCCTCAAATTTTCGATTTGCATCCCCCCCCCTCAAACTTTCAATTTGCCCCCCCCCCCTAAGGTCGGCGCCCGGGGACATATGTCCCCCCAGCCCCCCCCCCCCTCTCGCTACGCCTCTGTTATAGAGATCCAAAAATCACGCCTACATGCATAATACATTTCACAATATAAAAAAATAAAATAACATTTTTGATACAGACAGATGTAAAAATGTAAGCAATCAATTATTTGCAGGATATGTCAGCGGCGTGGAAATGAAACAACGACGTGGCGAAAAACGTGCGGATACACAAACAATATTTTCTTAAAAATTGAGTTAATTTTCTAAGTAAGAAATAGAAGCTTTACAAGTGACTTCACACGCCAAAACATATTTGTGACAAATTGTTATACAATTATGCTTAAGGAGAAGACGCTTTACGAAAAAAGCGTGAATTAATATATATATATATATATATATATATATATATATATATATATATATATATATATATATATATATATATATATATATATATACATATATATATATATATAATTAGTATTAGATAATATGTATAGACTTTAAATGATATGTTCAACACCCAACCTCCCCCATGAAGCACAATACAACATAGAAAACAGTAGTTTGTTTTAAATTAATTTTAAAGAAAATAAGCACCTGTATCTGCACCCTCCCCAACCCCAAAATTTAAGTAGGAGTCCCCCCCTTCGAATTTTCACCCCCACCCCAGGGAGAAAAATGTCTGCTCACCCTTCCCCGTATTTCAACCACACCGGTGCATGCTGGTATTGAATAACTCGGGCTAGAGAATATTAAACAGAGAATTAAGACTGGGAACAGCCTGCACTGTACACAAAACTTGATCCTGGTTTGTGTTTATTGAATCGATTTATGATTAAGAAAAGTCAACAATTCCCAGCCCAGGATGAATTTGACACTAATGCGCTCAAATAATTGTATACCTCTGTCTGAACTAGTGTGAAACTTAAATCCATGTTTTAATGACTGAACTGAACTTGATTTCACGCAAACATTACAACATGCCTAGTTGATCGAACGTAAAATTAAAAAAAAAATCAATCTAATTTTTTAGAACATAGTCAAACAAATTTAAAAAATTAAACTTCATTGGAATTAGCAAGATTAGTCAAACGCAGAAAGCTTTGTTTGTTCTTCTATGAAGTTTTTTCCGGGAAAATCCGCTGAGTTGGAGATCTAGCGCAGGGGTCTCCAAACTACGGCCCGCGGGCCGGATGCGGCCCGCGAGGTCTTCTCATCCGGCCCGCGGAGATCATTTTGTCCACGAAAAAAAAAATGATTTTTGGAGGTGACTGAGGAACTATGCCCCGAAAATTCAAAACAATTTCAAAATAAAGCTTTGTGTGCGTATACCGTTGCCCACCATGTTGTAGAAATTGGTGAAAACAGTGTGACTCAAATAGCGAAAAATGCAAGCAAGTTTCGCCATTTTTCAATTGAAATTGACGAGTCGCTAGACAGCTGTTCCACCTCTCAACTGCTTGTGTTCAATAGAGGTGTGGAAGAAGACATGAAAATAATACAAGAGCTGGCTTCCCTATAAAACATGTATTGCACTGTTACCGGAGAGGATATATTCAATTAGTAAAAAAAACATTTGCTGATTATAACTTGGACTGGACTAACCTCAGTTACCTGAGAATTGATGGAAGAAAGTACACGAGTGGCATAAAGCAAGGCTTGGTTGGACAAGCAAATGAGAAAAACATTTTACAAATTAAGTTTGTATATATTTCTATATAAATTATAACTCATTGGGGGGGGGGGGTCTGCCACCCCAAAGAGATGCCTGAAAGAAACTGGCCCTCGAACTGATATTTGATAGTTAATGCGGCCCCCGGGCTGAAAAGTTTGGAGACCCCTGCTAGCGAATGACAAGGTTTTCATTTTTAAGCGACGGGTAAGATTTATGTGGCTCGTTATCTGGGCGGATGCTGTGTTTCAAGGCCGACGGTGGGGTAAGGAGGGCGGGGGGTAGTGGTGTAACTGACAACAGGGGGTGGGGGCGGTTGGGCGGGAGACTGCGGTTATTACTGCCAAGTCGTCGGTACGTCTGCACCAGTATTGACATGACAATCGTTATTTTCTCCACTGCTACATTCCTCCCCCCCACCATTCCCCTAGCATCAGCTTAATCTCACTCAATAGATAACACGTTGCATTATCCTGGACCTTACACTTACACCCAACGTCCGAGATAATTGACCATATGGCGCATTACATGTTGACATGCAGTACTTAAATGTGTTGGAGGAAATCCGCAAAAAAAATAAAAAAATAAGAACGAACAAAAAAAAGCAACCCACTTCAACATATTGTTAGCTACAACAGCACGCAAACACACATACTATTCCTCTCACATCACAAATAGTATCCCTCCCCCACCGACACACATCATTCCTCCCCCACCCTCACATATCATCCTTCCTCCCCCACACACATTATCCCTCCCCCACCCACACACATTATTTCTCCCCCACCTACACATATCCTCCCTCCCCCACCCACACATACTCTACCTTCCCTACCCACAAATATCACCTCTCCCCCACACACCCACAATCCACTCGGCTCATAAAAGCCAGCCTGCCCACAATATATCCCCCCACCTCCACATATGTATGCCTCACACAGTCGGCATTTTGCATGTATATCAACGTCCCCACCCCCACCTACCTAAACACACACACACACATATCAATGCTCTCACACACCTGTACAACTAATGTCCCATAAATCCTGCCCATAACCTACCATCATCAACACACGGCCAATAAACCAACTCCTAATGAGGCATCAAACCACACGCAACAGACAGGTAAACATAATCACAAAATCGTTACCTTCAACCACATACACTGGACGGGTAAAAACAACAACAAAATCGTTACCAGAAACTACACACACCAGACAGGTAAATACAATCACAAAATCGTTACATTCAACCACATTAAAAGGGGGCAGTATCACCCAGACTAAGGGAGGGAAACAAAAACTATCACCAAAAAACCTATTCGACATACACATGTCAAAATTTTACAGCAGTAGTAACGTTTCTTCTGCTATAATACAGTATATAAATATTAGAGTATAAGTATGACAATAAATTTTCAAAAAATTATTTTGTTAACATTTTATTACATTTTGAATTTTTTGTAAACAATTTTTCGAAACCACAAGTAAAGTACTTAAAATTTGGTATAAATAATCCTTGCATATTTATTATTAGATTCCTCATGTGAAATAAATGTTTAGGAAATTTCAAAGTTCAATTTTAATGGTCTGACTTTGTAGAGTATTTTCAGCAGGATGGGCCTAAATGCTGTAAAACCGCAACCTAAAATTACTTAGTAAACATTTTTTTTGGTAAAATTGTTTATAAACAGTGTTTGCATCATACGTTAACTTTCTTTTATGTGCTGTTTTATAGCTCCTTGATATTTACTATTATGGTAAAAAAAATTATGTGTGTATGTATAATAGTTTTTTTTGGCAAATTTTTTTGTCAATTTTCAAATGTCTAGGGGATACTGCCCCGTAAAGAAACAAAATCGTTACCAGGAACTACAACACACACCAGACAGGTAAAAACAATTACAAAATCGTTACCAGGAACTACAACACACAAGATAGGTAAAAACAATTACAAAACGATACCAGGAACTACAACACACAAGACAGGTAAAAACAATTACAAAATCGTTACCAGGAACTACAACACACAAGACAGGTAAAAACAATTACAAAATCGTTACCAGGAACTACAACACACACCAGACAGGTAAAAACAATTACAAAACGCTACCAGGAACTACAACACACACCAGACAGGTAAAAACAATTACAAAACGATACCAGGAACTACAACACACACAAGACAGGTAAAAACAATTACAAAATCGTTACCTGGAACTACAACACACAAGACAGGTAAAAACAATTACAAAAACGTTACCAGGAACTACAACACACAAGACAGGTAAAAACAATTACAAAATCGTTACCAGGAACTACAACACACAAGACAGGTAAAAACAATTACAAAATCGTTACCAGGAACTACAACACACAAGACAGGTAAAAACAATAACAAAATCGTTACCAGGAACTACAACACACAAGACAGGTAAAAACAATTACAAAATCGTTACCAGGAACTACAACACACAAGACAGGTAAAACAATTACAAAATCGTTACCAGGAACTACAACACACAAGACAGGTAAAAACAATTACAAAATCGTTACCAGGAACTACAACACACAAGACAGGTAAAAACAATTACAAAAACGTTACCAGGAACTACAACACACAAGACAGGTAAAAACAATTACAAAACGATACCAGGAACTACAACACACAAGACAGGTAAAAACAATTACAAAAACGTTACCAGGAACTACAACACACAAGACAGGTAAAAACAATTACAAAATCGTTACCAGGAACTACAACACACAAGACAGGTAAAAACAATAACAAAATCGTTACCAGGAACTACAACACACAAGACAGGTAAAAACAATTACAAAATCGTTACCAGGAACTACAACACACAAGACAGGTAAAAACAATTACAAAATCGTTACCAGGAACTACAACACACAAGACAGGTAAAAACAATTACAAAATCGTTACCAGGAACTACAACACACAAGACAGGTAAAAACAATTACAAAATCGTTACCAGGAACTACAACACACAAGACAGGTAAAAACAATTACAAAATCGTTACCAGGAACTACAACACACAAGACAGGTAAAAACAATTACAAAACGATACCAGGAACTACAACACACAAGACAGGTAAAAACAATTACAAAAACGCTACCAGGAACTACACACACTAGACAGGTAAAACAAATAACAAAATCGTTACCTGCAACCATATACAACAGACAGGTAAATACAACAACAACAAAATCATTACCTGGAACCATTAAAGCATCCTTGACCTTGACCCCACCCGACGCTCTCGTTAATCCCGAGTCTGTAATCCGCCAACACTTTTAAGCCGTGCTGGTTCAGACTCGACAATAAATCTCCGGCCGTTTACCAGCTTATCCTGGCGGTACGGTTAATCCTAATCCGGTATATCACCTCACAATGTTGAAAATCGTCCGGATAGAGTTTCAACAATAAAATACAAAATGTTGAACAGAACTCCTGATTTGATGGTTAATCCAAATTATCTAATCCCAGATAAAAGAAGAATTTTTTTTTCCGTCTTAACAACAATTTACAAACTGCAACTAGGCTGTACGGTTAATCCCACATCACTTAATCCCAAACAGCTCTAATCCGTTATGTCTCACAGTTTAAGAAAACGTAGACAACAGAAAATGTAAAGTCACTAAAGTTGAATAATTCCAAGATAAATGGGATGCGCATCAATTCGAAAATTTGTTTACAATTTAAAATTTGTTTCAGCACCTTACGTGTACTTTCCAATCAAGTTCTGATCACATGGGCATATATCGAACTATGTGTTATTTAATCACATGAATATAGATCGAACTGTCCTTATCTACATAGCCAGTTCAGGGATCAAAAAGTAAACAAAAGATGCACAACGCTTAAATTTTCAACTAAATCTGTACGTTGAAACTACTGAAGTTAAGTCACAAAACAGCGTTGAAGCTTAGCTCGCTAAACTTCAAGTAGCCTTTTGGTAACCAATGTTAAATATAACGTTAACCTATTTTATATAGATTCTAAGTCGCTTTAATCCTGGAAAATACAGCATATAATGGATATTTAACAGTTTCTAACTACTAAAAAAAACAATTGTTTTACAATTTTAGAATGAAAATGCTTTGAATATCCCATTAATACAAAATAAAAAAAAATAAAAATCAATTTTAAATTTTTTTCCCATATTCATAATTTAAGGGTATTTTTTTCCCTTTACAATGTAAGAGAAATTCGTCATCGACATTCGAAAAAAACAACAACAACAGAAACTGCAAATAGCTTTAACAATTTAAAATCCTCAAGAATTATGAAGGGCGGTACCTAACTTTAAAAAAGCCTGAGCATTTTTCATAAATGTAATTATAACTTTTAAAAAAAAAACGGCTACACTAATTTATCACCTGCTTCAATTCATCCGCGGATAATGAAAGAAGTGTCGACAGCGGCATAGCAAGCTCGGAGAGAGAAACACAATCACACCAACGGCAGTGCGCGCCCCACCTCTTCCCACTTTCCCCAAACCAACATCGATCGGGAAACTCCGTCTCTCTCCGCCAGCCCGCCATTGTTTTTACTTTTTATGTCTATTCCCGTATTGGGGAATTTCCGTTTCTCAATTTATTTATTTTTACTTTAGTCAGGTGACGGAAGTGATGAAATTTTTTCCTGAATTGACCTTGAACCTGCTGAAACGACAGATAACGGGCTCGGTTCGAGTTTCTCAAATTCGTTTACCGCATGAGTGATTTCATTTCACGCATGGTTGATGAGGCAGGAAGAATTTACATCCGTGTTTGGAGCTATCTCCTTTCTTGCGGTCACGTAAGGTTATTCAAATAACGGAAGTGTATTTACAAATTGGTGCGGGCTTACAAGTTGTAACCCAGACATTCGTGTCCAGTGTTTCTTCCAGACTTTTTTCTCCGGGGGGGCACTTGAAATCTTCGGGGGGGCGGTAAACTTTCTTCGGGGGGGCGGACACTGTTAAAAGTATATATTTTCTATATAAATGATACAAATTTCATTTCGTTCGGGGGGGCGGTAAAAATTTTTCGGGGGGGCTTCGCCCCCCCGAAGAGATGCCTGGAAGAAACTCTGTTCGTGTCGACAGACTTCACAGAAGAAGACTTTCAAGGTGACACGGGATTTCAAGGTCGTAGATATCTTCAAAGTGATACAGATTTTCAAGGTTAAACATTTTCTGTATGGTAAAGACTTTCAAAGTAACAGACATTCAAACGGGCACATGTTTTTGAAGTCATGCAGATCTTCTACCTGATATAGACTTTCTAAGTAAAGTAGATTTTCTATGTGATACAGACTTTTAGGCGACAGAGGCTTTATTGAAGTCATACCGATCTTTAAGGTGATACAGAATTTAAAGGTTAAACATAATTTCTACATGATTTAGACTTCCAATGTTAGAGATGCCTTCGAGCTTAAATAGATTTACATGGTGATACAAGCGTTTAAAGTAATACCATTTCTAGTGGATATAGAAAGCTTCCATGCGATATAAACTTTAAACGTGTAAATTCACGTGAATATATTGTGAACACGGGAGTATCTGTATCGTATGTATTATTTCTTCTTGAACACGAGAAATCATAAACAATGTACAGGTGAAACTTATTTGACAGCCAGTTAGTTTACAGGTGAACCCGACTTTAACACACAGATTAAGGTAAACACTTGGAATAGGTCGAGTTTGACAGGTTTTTAATATTATAGAACGGCGTGGCCTAGTGTTTCGAAGCTGGACTGCTAACCCGAAAGTCTCGAGTTCGAACCTGGGTTTAAGTCATTAGAAGGTCTCTGAGTCCACCCATTGAACTGAGTGAAAATGGCGTCTGGGCATAGCGACCGCAATACTATCCCCTCAGATTAACTCTACTTCATCTACGCCAGGTGCCCCAATCAAAGATGATGATGAAACTGCCGATCAAACTTACATTCGCTTTTCAGGAAATAAAAAAAGTTTAGAAAAAATGATACAAATATTGCCGTTTTGTTTTCCAGAGTTGGCGTTTCTTTACGTGACAAATCTACACATATATTTTTTATTACTCTTACAGTATTTTACAGGAACTGGAAAGTACAGCTAATTATCAATTATTATTAACAATCAAGAAAAAGAAACCGGCAAAAAGTGCATATCCATGTATTCTTATTCGATTTCTTCCATTAAAAATAGATGTTAGAGTATGCTACAAAGTTAACAAAGTTATATAGAGTCCAAAGCCTCATGACGTCATTGACTAAGGTTAATGTTTTAACTCACTGATGAAGAACTAAAAACGTCGTAGAAGCTACGTGGGGAGTACGCTCCAAAAGTTACGCGGATATTTCAGCCCGGTTACAAGCTAGCGGGGGCCAGTTACTTTAGGCAGATGCGGATATTGTCCGGAAATTATTCCGTCGTGTTAGTTGTGTGGTCGTGTGTGAAAGTTAGCCACACAACGCGGCGTGCGGTTCCGGGGTTTAAGGTTAGGGTTAGTTAAAGTCTCGCGTTAAATGTCAGGGTATTAGGTCTCTGGCGTTAGAGTTAAATTCAGCATTGACGTTTGAGGTCTTGATACTTAGTGTATGGTTTCCTCTTAAGGCTGTTACTATCCATTAAAGTGATTCTTCTTCTTCGCCTAATTCAACTCCATGTGGTAAAGTAAAGTTCCCCTTCCAAACATGACGGTCTATGGGACAAGTGAATTGGAGTTTACCTGTTTATGTGACCTCGGCGTATGAAGAGATAGTGTGGTCAACATTATGCCCAGCCGCCTTTACTTTTCCTAACGTCAGTAGGGTACCCATAAGAGCAACCCAATGTCCAGCATATGCAGTTTACAACTTCCTTTTATGATTATTTTTCTCCATTTATCCAGCTTTTTCAATTTCTTTACGTAAGGGTTTTTATGTTTTTTTATGTTTCTCTACTTAATTACAATTATTAGTTCTGAACAGTGTTTCTTTCAGACTTTTTTCTCCGGGGGTGGGGAGGGGTGGCACTTGATAATGATATCGGGGCGGCCACTGGTAAAAATAAATGTTTTCTATAGAAATGCCTCGCAGAAACTCTGGTTCTGAATAAAGACTGAAAAAAATAAACAGTGCAATATCAAAACCCTCCATGATAAAATTAATAAAATAAAATTCAGAAATTATCATCAACATGATAGCAGACATATGAAATATCTTCAAAATCGTTATTTCACAATACAAAATATTCCTATGTGAAATAATAAAGCAAAAAAAAATCGAAATGTAACACAATATAAAACAACTGACATGTGACTGAATAAAACAAGAAGTATTAAATCACAGTAATACCCATGTAATATGACACAATGCAAAAATTCGAAATATGACACCATGAAATCGCAAAAACTTGACAACATGAACAAAAAAACAAACATACTTTACCCGACAGCCTAATTTATTTTGACAAGTAAACACCCGAAGGTATTTTAAAAAATGAAAATAAAAATAATAAAAAATTAACAAAACTTTAAATAAATACATTTTGTATTTCGACATTGTGCTTAAAAATAACCACTCCAAATTTTGTGGATTATCGCTGTTCAACATGGATTTTAACGCAATACGATTTTTCCTTTTTCAAGCAATTTGAGTGTGGTTAGACCTGACATGAATAACATGTCAAGATAAGTACACACATAACAAACATCAGCCTACAAAAATAACACATCAAACAGCAGTATAATCACACATACTAGAAACACCAGCAACGATAACACACAAAACAACAGCATACACAAAAAACACAAAATAAACACATATTAAACATCGGCATACACTGCTAAGCAGCACCAGCATACATTCAAAAAGCACACACAAACATACACACCAACAGTAACAACAATAAAAATAAGCACCAGCTTACATACAAAACAGCAGCATTCACCAATTACAACAACAATAAACAACAACAAACATTCATAACACCAGCACACGTTCACACCACCACCATCACCACCAACAACAAAATATAGCAGCATACATACAAAACACAAGCACCCCCGTCCTCCCACTCCCCCCACACACGCACCTAGAACAATAAACATCAGCTGCCACAAAGACAACAAACACCGACAAACAATAACCAACCTCCTCCCCCACCTACACAACAACACACCCAGTCAACTACAAAACAAAAACACAACGAACTCTTCCCAATCAACCCCCTCCATCCCCAGGTACACGAGAACTTAATGCCACCGCCTACCACCCAGCACTCTAAGAGTTCCATCCAGGTGCCATTGTTTCAGCTCAACAACACCTTGACGAAGGTAACAACCACTTGAAGCACTCACCCCCCGACTGACACCTGT